CATGGTTACAGAATTGCGGTTGGGCATGGCCACCCAGCTAGCAGTCTCATCGTCCTGCTTCCTTTGCTGCTGGGTGTGACCTCGGAACTAAGTTCTACCTGGTGGGTGATGACAGATGAGTCTGTCTAGGTCTTTCTGGGTCTGGGTTGTTGCGCTTGTGTTTCACACTTGTGTTTCACACTTGAGCTGGGACTACCTAATTTCCTTCTTTGTAAATAAGGGCGACACCTTAGAGGATGGAATAGTCATATGTGGGAAAGGGCCACAGGACCTGGGACCACTCTTCCCAATACTCTTTCACAGGAAAGATGTGAGCGTTGCGTTTGGTGGGTGGCAAGGAGGAAGGAGCTCTTTCTTACAGCAACCTTTTACCCTAATTAACATACATATAAAATGAAAACTTATTACCATAGGCTACTGCCAATGCTGGACATGCAAGAGATGCAGGTTCAATTCCTGTGTGGGGAAGATCCCCTGGAGGAGGATATGGCCACCCACTCCAGTATTCCTGCCTGGAAAATTCCAGGGATGGAGGAACCTGGTGGGCTACTGAGGCACAGAGTCAGACTGTGCATGCATGCAGGCATGTCACTAAAAGGCAGACTCTCAGTTGGAGTAAAGAAGATCAAAATTCAACTGTTGTGATGAACTTTTACAGGGCAGCAATGGAGATGCAGACATAGAGAACATACTTGTGGACACAGTGGGGGAAGGAGCTGGTGGGACGAACTGAGAGAGTAGCATGGAAACATAAATGATCGTATGTAAAATAGATGGCCAATGGAAATTTGCTATATGACTCAGGGAGCTCAAATCAGGTGCTCTGTGACAACCCAGAAGGGTGGGATGGGGTGTGAGGTGGAAGCGAGGTTCAAGAGGGAGGGGACAGGTATACTTATGACTGATTCATGTTGATCTATGGCAGAAACCAACACAATAGTGTAAAGCAATTTTCCTCCAATTAAAAATTTTAAAAAGTCAAGTGTTATTTACAAAAACACACTTAAAAATAATGACTCAGGATGGCTGGAAATGAAGAGATGGAAAGATATATACTAGGTAATCACAAACAAAAAGAAAGATAATTGTATCATACAACATAGAATTTAAGGTGGAAAAACAATGGACAGATAAACACCTGGTGAACTTAACTAGGCAAACTGGGTCAGAGTCCTGACTTTGACATTTATACTGTGGAACCCTGAGCAAATTGCTTTATTGTTTTCTAGTTTCAGTTTCTTTCTCTATAAAAGATGATAATAACATATTATTTGCAGGATTTGGAGAAAATACATGGGGAATGTTGTCTATAGATATAAAAATATTGTAACTCAAATTGGGTCATATAATTCATTCATCTGGCATTTACTGAAAACTTCTTATACATCAGAACTAGGAAGAGGGAGTCAGTCATATTACTTGTCATCAGAGAGAATATGTGTTAAGATGAGTTTAATAAAATATTCTACAGCATTATGGGGGGGCATGTATTTTGTCTAGAGAGAGGGGCCAACAGAGTCAAAAATAATTTCATAAGAAAGGTGATTCTGTGGTTGACTGGTGTTTGCACAGGCTGAGTAAGAGGAAGGATGTTCCATGAGAAGGCACAGCATAAAAATAATTTGCCTGGAGCTTCCCTGGTGGCTCAGTGATAAAGAATCTTCCTGCCACCAGATCTGAAAGAGACACGTGCACCCCAATGTTCATCGCAGCACTGTTTATAATAGCCTGAACATGGAAGCAACCTAGATGCCCATCAGCAGATGAATGGATAAGGAAGCTGTGGTACATATACATCATGGAATATTACTCAGCCATTAAAAAGAATTCATTTGAATCAGTTCTAATGAGATGGATGAAACTGGAGCCCATTATACAGAGTGAAGTAAGCCAGAAAGATAAAGACCAATACCGTATACTAACGCATATATATGGAATTTAGAAAGATGGTAACGATAACCCTATATGCAAAACAGAAAAAGAGACACAGATGTACGGAACAGAATTTCGGACTCTGTGGGAGAAGGCGAGGGTGGGATGTTTTGAGAGAACCGCATCAAAACATGTATATTATCTATAGTGAAACAGATCACCAGCCCAGGCTGGATGCATGAGACAAGTGCTCGGGCCTGGTGCACTGGGAAGACCCAGAGGGATAGGGTGGAGAGGGAGGTGGGAGGGGGGGATCGGGATGGGGAACACATGTAAATCCATGGCTGATTCATGTCAATGTATGACAGAAACCACTACAAAATTGTAAAGTAATTAGCCTCCAGCTAATAAAAATAAATGGAAAAAAAAGAAAAAAAAAGAATATAAAATTATGGTTAATATATATTGTTAAATACAAAATGCAAGCTGTGAAACAATAGTCAATATTATCTTGTAAAAATGTATATTTAAATACTGAAAATATATTTCTTTTCAAATTGATGAATAGAGGTGTGGTAGACAAAATAATAGCTGTTCAAAGATGTCCACATCCTGATCTCTGAAACCTGTGAATACGTTACTTTACATGGCAAAAGGGACTTTTCAGATGATTGAATTAAGGATATTGAGTTAGGGGAATTATCTTGGATTATTCAGTGGACCCAAGGTTAGGACAAGAGTCCTTATAAGAGGGTGGCAGGAGAATTAGTTAGTAGTAGGGGATGTGACAAACGAAGCAAGGGTTTGAAGTAATGTGAGAAAGGGATCCTGAACCAAGAAACACTGACAGCCTCTGGAAGCTGAAAAAGCAAGAAAATGGAGCCTCCCTTCAAAGCCTTAAGAAAGAACTGGTCCTACTGACATTTTGACTTGAGTCCGATGAGACTGATTATGAACTTTTGAATTTCAAAATTGTAAAATAATTAATTTTTGTTGTTTTAAGGCTCTAAAAAAAAAAACAAAACAATCTTCCTGCCAACGCAGTAGACATGGGTTTGATTCCTGATCCAGGAAGATCCCACATGCCAGGGAGTAACGGGACCTGTGTGCCACAGATACTGAACCTGTGCTCTAGAGCCGAGGAGCTGCAGTATTGAAACCCGTGCATTCTAGAGCCGATGCTCCGCAACGAGAGAGGCCACTGCAATGAGAAGCCTGTGTACCGCAACAGAGATAAAAGCCTGAGCAGTGACGAAGACCCAGCACCGCTAAAAACAAATAAAATTTTATGTACATAGAAAAAGGAATCAATCCAAGAAGAAGATATAACAACAACACAATAAGTGGCCTGATAGGGAACTGCATTCATGGATCTCACAAAGTTTGATGAGACTGGAGAAACAGATGCTGGCTAAGATATTGGAACTTCATCCTACACACAATGGGGAGGTATTTAAAGTGTTCCTCCAGGAAATGACTTGCTAGGTTTTGTATTTTAGACAGCTAATTTTAGCCACAAGGTGAGAGATGGCAGGGGTAGAGGTGTGAGCAGCTTAGCAGCAGTGAGACTAAAGAGGAAAGCAATGCAATGTTTCAGGGGCTCGAAAGAAAGGACCCCAAACGCAACAGGAGCAGTGAAATGGACGGAAGGTGATGGACAAGAATGGCTGGTCTCCCAAGGGGGCGATAGGGGAAGAGAAGGGGAGCCTGGGACAACTTCAGATTTCTCCTTTGGTTAACGAGGCAGACTGTGGAGATGTTTACTAGGAGTGAGACCAGGGAGAATGGGCAACTGGCAGGAAAGTTAACTTCCCTTTTAGTCAAGCTGAGCTGAAGGCCAGTGGGCCGTCTGGGTAGATGTTTCTGATAAGAAACTGTCTTTACAGACTGGAGATCTAGGGTAGGCTGGACAGGTTATGAGTTGCTAGCACATTGATTGGTGGTTGGTCATGGATGGGTCTGGATAGACCAGATAGCATTAGAAACAGACCAAAAAACAGGCTATTCTAGCATTCCAGCATGTCAAAGATGACAAAGGGGCCAAGCTCAACTAAGACGCTTAGCGAACAGGAAACGCAAGTGTCACAGTGGCCAATGGAAGAGATAGTTTCAAGGACAAAAGTCTGGCCTCCAGTGACAAATACTGCAGATACATTAAATAAGAAGCGAATGGTGGTGGGGGGCAGGGAAACAACCGAATGGGTCAGGGAAGTTTGAAAGGCACGGGTGACCTTTGTCAGAGTTGCCTTGGAAGAATAGTGGGCACGAAGATCCGTTGCAGAAAGAATGAGTGGTAGATGAAGAAAGGGTTGTAAGAATAATAAAAACAGGCATTTACCTCCCAAAGAGCTTGACTGTGAAGAGGTGGGGGCTGGAGGATCCAGACTGGATCAAGGAAGTGTTTTGAACTTTTCAGTTTGTTTTTACAATGTGCCTATATGTTTTACATGATGAAGGGCCTGGGAAGATGCTGATAGAAGGAGCCTGAAAGTCCATGTGAGGGAATACGTGAAAAGCCATCCCGACTCATTGGAAAAGACCCTGATGGTGGGAAAGGCTGAAGGCAAACAGAGAAGGGAGCACGGAGGATGAAATGGTTAGACAGCAGCACGGACTCAATGGACGTGAATTTGAGCAAACTCCAACAGGACAGAGGAAACTGGCGTCCTGCAGTCTGTGGGAATCGCAAAGAGTCAGACACGACTTAGGCACTGAACAATAACAAAGCCATTCTCGGGTTGGAAATAGACTGAAACCGTCTCCGATGCCCATAAGAGGATCAGAAACGCTGTTTGAAAGGTTGTTTTCAAAGGTTGGGACCAGGCGACATGTCATTTATTGAGCGCTCACTGCGAGCCAGTCCCTTTCCGTAATTTGAAGGCAGCAATCTAACTGGAAGGCAGATCCACTCCGGAGCCGGGTTTCTTTCCTTGAAACCGTTAATCACTAAAAAGGCATAAACAAACAAACAAAAAACAAAAAAAGTACTCCCTGAAGCTGAACCCCTCTCGCAGATGCTAACCCATCTGCAAGGCTTTTTAGTGTCACAAAGCATAAACCATCCCTGGCGCAGCTGGTTCAAGAGCGGCTCTGGAATGCAATGATCTCCCTCGCTCTGTCGAAGTCGGTTACCGTCCAAAGCGATTCGGTTCAAGCCTCAGCGCCCGGAGGAGGGGAGGTGCCCGCGCGCGGGCCGCCGGCGTGGGAAGGGAGGCGGGCGCGGGTTGCGGGCACCGGGAGAGGGAGACGTGGGGACAGGGGCGCTGGAGGCGACTCCGGGGACGCGCGGTCGCTACCGCTCCCATCGCCAGCGCATCGTCCGGCCAAGCCGGGCTTTCCCCTCTCTTCCCCGCCGCTCTTCCCGCGCGCGCGCGCGGCGGCGGCTCGGCGCCCGGTCCCGGGGGGGAGGCCGCTCGCGTCCCCGCGGCCGCCCGGCGCCCCTCACCACCCGGCGGCGGCTTTCGGTTCCGCGCCTTATAAGGCCGGCCGGGGGGGTCACGTGCGCCCCGGGCCGCCCGCCGGGAGGAGGGGGCGGCGGGGAGGAGGCGGGGCGGGGAGCGGGGAGGAAAAGGGGAGGGAGCCGGGGGCGGAGGAAGGCGCGGGAGGCGGACTCCGCGGCCGCGGGAGGCGGCGGCGGCGGCGGCGGCGGGAGCGGATCGCGCGGCGCTGGACCGCGGAGGACGAGGAGGTGGACGGAGGGCCCGGCGCGGGGGCGGGAGAGCGCAGCGCGGCGGAAGCCGGAGACGGCGGGAGGGCCGGTAGCTGGGAGCCGGGCGGCGGCGGCCGCGAGCACCGCGGCGAGGGAGGCGCATCCAGCGGCCCCGGCGGCGGCGGCGGCGGCTGGGGGCCCGGGTCCGCACTCCGCGGGCGGCCGGCGGGCGCGGGCCGGCGCGATGGAGCCGCGGCACGTGCGCCCCGCGCCCGGCGCCCGCAGCCCGACCTGGGAGGAACCGGTGGGTACAGCGCCCGCGCCCGCCCCCTCCCGCTTCTTCTCTGTCGCGTCCCCCTCCCTCCCGCCCGGGCCGGGTTCCGTTCAGGAAATGGCCCGGGATGAGGTTCCCAGCTGCTTCCCAGCCGGGGCCGCGCTTCCTCCGCCGCCCCAGCTCCTCCTCGCGCGCCGCCCCGAGCCCCTTTGTCCGACCCGCCGAGGCTTTCCCCGAGGGGGGCCGCCGGCGACCCGCGCGGACCACGGCCCTCGGAACACCGTTTGATTTCCGTGCTTCATCGACTTCTCAACTTTTTTTTTTTGGACTTGATTTTAGAGCGAAGAGGGTAGGTAGCGAGGAAGAAAGGAGAAATCCAGACCGTGGGTCGGCGGGCAGGGCTCGGAGGAAATCCGCGTTCCCCCCTCCCGAGACCGCGCCCTAGCCCATCACCTGGGCGCGCAGGTTCCCGGGGACCCGCGCTGGCCCGGCGCATAGCGGCTTGAAGCCCGGAACCACGCCTCCGACTCTGGCTCGCCGCTAAAGCCCCGGGCTTTCCTAGAGGGTCAAGGGGGCTTGCCAGGGGTGAAGCGGCAAGCTGACCTTGATTTCGCCTAGGTTTTTCGCCGCCCATAAAACGCGGAGGTTGGGTGATTTTAGGGATCCGAGTAGCCAGTACATGTGCCTGGTATGTGCGACGGTAACGAGCAGGAGCCCGGGGGAGAGGGGGTCTTTGCATCCGTTCTCTCAAACTCTTTCAACTTCTTTCTTGCAACTCAGATAGTCAGAACCACCTCACCACCCTCCAGTGTTTCTACCCCGAAATCCCCGTCTCAGTCAGAGCTCTGTAATCCTGTGTGGACTGCCTTTTTCCCCTGGCATCGAATTTTGGCTCTGCGTCCTGCCTCGATGTTTGGTACTCCGTCCTGGTTGATATTCTGGAGCCTCTTTGAAAAGCCTCACCGGTGTTCTGTTCACCATGTTCCCAGGGACTCCTGCATTATCTGCTCAGGCTGGCCCCCTGCCTGTTGAGAGCTTCTAGGTCAGGTGCCAGGGTTGGTTCTTTTTCTTTCCCAGTGTGTACCCTACCAGCTCCTTTGCCCAAGTTTCTCTGCCGTCTGTTTCCCGACCTTTCGGGAGTGTCCTTCAACCCTGATCCGTCTGTATCTGCAACTGTCTTTGCTTTCATAAAGTTGAACATGTTATTAGCTTGCCAGTCTGTTCTTATTTCTTACGTTGTGTGTATTACTGAGGATTACAATATCCTTGAAATTCAAAATACAGTTCGGTTTTGGAGTTTAAGTCAAAGCTCCCTGAGAACTAAATTCAGTGACCTGCTTTGGTAACTTTTTTACTTTTAAACTTTCCTACCTGGGAAGTCCTTTATGAACTTGCAGACCTGGAGTCAACAATCACAATGAAAAATGCCTAGTGGTAGTATTTTACTGTAGGATGCTGATGCCACAGCTACTTTGGCAGGAAAACTTTTATTTTTGCTTTCCTTCAAGTGACAAAAATGAAAATGTTCATTTATTATCCTTTAAAACTAGAGCCCAAACAGAAATATGTGAGTGAATTGTGACACTTTGTCCAGTCTGCATAACTCTCCTTTAAAAAAAAAGAGGTTTATTTTCTTTAAAGTCTGTGGGCCTTTTTATTTACTCAACAGGTATTTTATCCAGCACCTACTATGTTCTAGGACTGTTGAATGTAGCAGTTGACTGCACAGACACAAATCCTTAAATCATCACAGAGCCTTCATTCTTAAGTAGACAGAATGTCTTGTTTCATACATTTTACTATTTTAGAGTAAAAAGAAAACAGTTCAAAGAAGAAAATCATCAGAAATCTCCTGTATGTGGCATAAAATGATCCTTTGGACACAGTGATTTTATTTGAAACCTCGTGGCTGTCCATGTCTGACATGAAGTCTAAGAACTAATAAAGGGGACTCTCATTTAACTTCTTAAAAAAGATAAGTTATCCAAATTACTGAAAAGTGGTGTGGACAAGAAAAATGACCGGGTAAAGTAGGGGAAATAATGCATGTAAATGTCAGTTATTTCAGACATAGGGAGCTAACGGGAAATGTCAGCTTAATCTATGTTGAAGGACAGATTTCCCTACAAAAACTTTTCTCGGATCAGTGATCCCTTATGAATCTAATCAAAGCTATGGACTGTCTTCCCAAGATGTACCCATGCAACATACATATAAAATTTGATAAAATTTCATGGGAATCAGAGTTCCCATAGCCCAGTCTGTTGACCCTCAAAGACCTTGGGTTAAAAAATCTGCTTTGACCTGGATTCCATTTTGCTGTCATTTAAAATCTCTTTTTTTCTGAATTCCAATACAGGCTACTTTAATACTTTACTATAAAAGTATACTCAGTTACATTTATGAAAAGGAATATTCAGGAACGAACAGGAAATATTCACAGCACACAGATCCTGTTGCATTGTTTCTTACTGTAAATAACAGCATACATGTTAAGGATATACTTTCTCTGGTCTTTTTTGCCAAGTCCCAAAACATGATATGATTCTACATGGAACCATTCAGATAGAAGAGTTAACATCATGTTGGGAATCGATGCTAAGTACTAGTAAAGAGAACAGCCCCTCTAGCTTGAAATGTACTCATGCCTGGAGCAGCGAGGCAGCTGCTGACCATCAGGATGGTCTTTCTACTTGGAGATGAAATAAATTATTTAATTAAGGGAGGGTATTTAAATAAACTGTTAACCTTATCATTACCCCATTGAGGGCACTGGGCCTGCAAGATAAATGTTAGCATTCAGGTGTCTGTGTATTTCCTTTAATGCTAGCTTTAGAATGTAATCAAATCAGTGGAAACAGGCATTACCTAAATTTCCAATTAAAAAATACTTTGGTGGTGGTAATAGGTGGGTTCAGGAAGATATTTAGCCAAGTAGTCCTCGTAGATAATAGCCTGTGGGAAAGTAAATGGAATTCTTGCCAGAACTTAGCAGAGTATGAGGGTGTTTACAGAGTAGCTCTTGAACAGTACTGGGATGCTATAGTACCCTTTACTTATTAAAATTTATTTTTATTTCCGAATGATTGTTACCTAGTTGGCTCTGATGAAGCTATTCAGAACCGCTGAAAAATTAGGGAGAGAAGAGTTTCAAAGGAAAAATGGCCAACACATAAATGAGAGTTTATGTATGAAGTCTAGATGACCGAAGTTGTGTGCCTTAGGTGCAGGGATGGGCATACGTACATGGACTTGATATGATTACTGTCATTTCAAAATCCTCTTCGTTGAGATAACAAGGGAATTTTAATGCAGCTTTTGGTGTTACATTCTAAACACGGAATAGGTAGTGTATTATGGAAGCTGTTTTAAAGTTTGCATGAAAGCAGATCTGTACCTGTTCAACCTCCAGTGTTCTTTGTATGGCTCCCATTAACTAGGAACGTGAGTCTTAGAACATGTTTTTAAAGTGCCTGTGTAGTTCGGTTCTTCAGAATCTACTGTAGACTTCATGTTTATGACATAATATTAATGTAAACCATAGAACATAGGGGATTTAATCAATAAAAGCTACAAATGGATATTAAACCTCTTTTGTTATAAGTATGATCAATAAGAATATAATTCAAAATATCTCTATAGGTAATATTTATAAGGTTGGTATCAGAATGAGAACTGGCTGTAACTTATCTTTAGTATATATATATATATTTTTTTTAAATGGGGCGGAAAGCCCTCTTAAGTAGACACCTAAACATAATTTAGTGGTAGCTTCTATTTCCACTTCTTTCTGAATGCAGTGTCTGTGTGGCTTATGTCCAAGTTTATAATAGTTTGTTTGTGATACATTATGTTCAAAACAAGGATTTCAAAGTAATAATAATAAGATAAATATGTAAGATGCATCTAAGAAATTATCTGAAAACACCAAGTAAGGCAAACAGTTAAAGGAAATCTTATAAATTAAAGAAATAATGTAATATGCCACATATTTGAAGTTTGTTTTAGTTGCTATTTTGAGCTACATTAAAATGGTTGTACTTATTGAGCTCTTGACATTGCTATTATATTTTTAGGGGAAGTGAAGTGCATTGCAGGTATACAGTGTACAGATTGAATATCCCTTCTGGCAATTTCTAATTTACAGATAAGACATGAGAAGATGCCAGTGGGTCAGCTACTTTAAGTTAGGGATTGTAGTTCCTCAGAAGAGATGACTGGAGAAAAGAGAATCTTTCATGAGCTACCTTTTGTGGGAAATGATGCAACATTTCTTCACTTGCTTATATAGTATTTCACTCTAAGTATGTGCTAAAGAAAATGCAGACCAGGGGTCATTTAGTTAACCTTGGCGGGTGAAGACTGACTGTGCTTTCAAAGTCACAACCAAATTTTAGAACTTGTTATAAGAGTCTGTTACCCCTGTTACAAGCAGGGGTAGCTGTGAGGTTAATTTTTCATGAAGTAATGAATGCCTTTACTTTGAGGTATTAATAGCCCAGCTTTTGCACTGAAGCTATTTATATATATATATTTACTTTTTTATTTAATATTTTAAAGTGATCAATGTTGGAATGAGAGTGAGAAGTGTATTCAGTCCTCTTCTTAAGATCACAGAATAGGCATGGACATAAAACAATGGACCTTGCCCTTCTGTTTCACTCTCTGCCTGGATTTTGGAAAACATTACTTATATAAAACGTTAAACCTAAATGTGAACAGAAGCATGATAACGGACAAATTAACTTTTGTTGTGTGATGTGGTAATGTGAATAGAACATTAGAATAAGACACATGATTTTGACTTCGGTCCTGCTTGTGACTTTGGGCCTCAGGTTCTTTACATTAAAAGAGAAGGTCTGAACTAGGTTTAATCTTTCAAAAGGCCATTGACTTAGGTGCTCTTTCGATTTGTGAGACCACTGGATTTGTCAGTGACCAAACAGTTGGGTTCGAATAAAGGCCATTATTTTGATTTTTTTTTTCTTTTAAAAGAATGCCCTTCTCAGAGGTATGTTCTCTGTAGATACAGACTTGCATTTTTATGGCGCCTTGAGTGTTCTTAAAGTTTATTCTGCCCAACTACTTTCCCTTCCTAAAGAAGACAACAGAGCCCAAAGAAGTAGCCTTTACTAGTTAGTAATACCTGGCAGCAATCTCCTGTCGTTCCACATTTGAACTAACCGTCACATTTTACATTTCAATCAATTTAATCTACCTAGTAGCTAGACAGTGGTACGAGGATTGTAGATTGTTTCTGAAAATCTTTTAGAACTGTTAGTTCTGTCACAGCATCAAATTATTGACAGTAAGATTTAAACTAAAAAAAAAAAAAAGCAAAACACCCCTCCGTTATTCTGGAGGACCCTTAAAGGTCATGTCAACTGAAAAGAATTCGAATGAATTTGAAGGGCGCGAACACGCTAGAGAGACTGGATGCTTTCCTGAAGTGTGAAGACTCCATGGTGTGGCAGGGACTTTTTGCCCTACTTAAACACACAGCTTAACAGCGGCCTGGAATCCTCTGTGGATGACAAGAGGAGCCTGTCACTTGAGTCTCTTCTCCCCGAAGCCCTCCCACAGCAGGCATGCACAGGGCAAGGCGAGGCTGCTGTTTCCCAAGCGTCCGCTCCACCAGCTCGCAGGGGACGAGCTGTGAGCGGTGGCTGCCGCCTGTTGATCCCATTTCCTCCCGCTCCAGTCCGGGTTAGGGAGTGGCTCTCTCCCAGGACCTTCCAGTGTTTTCGTGCTTGGGCTCCGGCGCTCGCAGGGCTCCGGCGCATTGTTTTCTTCTAGGCAGTACCCCCGTTGGCGCTTGAGCTCAGACCTTTCTCTTGCCCGCCGTCGTCGCGGACTGCGTGTAACTCGCTGGTTTCTGCGCGCTCTCCACGCCCTTGCCAGTTTCCTGTTAGCCCAAGGGATCGCTCTTTCCGAACGAAAAGTTCTCCGAGCGGAGTGGAGCCTCCCGGAAAATGCTCTTCTCTTCCGTGTGCGCCGGATGGGGGTGGGGGTGGGCCAGAAACTGAAGGCCACAGTCGGGAGAGCCGACGGGACCCGGACCTCCGGGCGGAGGCGGGAGAGGTACGCTTCATCACAGAGGGGCTGGGGGATCCGGAGACCCACCAAGGGGCAGCGCCCGTCCATCTCGGGGCCGCAGGGGACTTGTACTCGCGGGGACCGTGCGGCGAGGCCCAAGTGTCTCTGCAGAGATCCTGGGTTCGGGAGGGTGGCAGGGGCACCCAGGGGAGCCGGCAGGAAGCCACGTTCCCTTTCTGCTCCCGGGGCCATTCTTGCCACGGTTGCCCGGGAACCGAGGGAGGGAGGAAGCATCGCCGCCGGCCGGGCCTGCGGGAATTGGGGTGCGGAGGTTTCGCGCCTCTCTCGCCCTGCGCGGCTCACCCTGGGGAACCCAGACCCTCGGGAACGTGGGACGTAGTTCTGACCCCTCCGTCGCTCCCATCACCGCTACCCGCACCGGTGGTATTCTGGGCCAGGAGCCCTCCAGCACGCCCAGGGCTGGGCGCGCTGGGGTCCCAGGCGGGCCTGGGTCCGCGTCCCCGGCGCCCCGCCGCGGCCGCTGCTTGGGCCGGAGCCGGACGCGGGGTCCCGGAGGCTCCCGGCCGGGCGCGGGATCCAGGGGGCTCCCGGGCGACCCCTCCCCGGCGCGGGAGGCTGGGGGGTGAAGATGGCGGCGGCGGTGCGGGGCTCCGGCCCCGCTCGAGCGGAGCGCGGCCCCTGATCGCCTCCCCCGCCGGGCGGGGCTGTGTTCCCGCAGGAGTCGGACAGGATGGCCGGGGCCGGCGGCCAGCACCACCCCCCGGGCGCGGCGGGAGGAGCGGCAGGCGCCACGGTCACCCCCGCCACTGTCCCGGCGGGGCCCGGAGACGACTCGTCCGACAGCGAAGCGGAGCAGGAGGGACCCCAGAAGCTGATCCGCAAAGTGTCCACCTCTGGGCAGATCCGCACCAAGGTGAGGCGGGCCGTGAGCAACGAGGAAGGCGGGAGGAGGCAGGCCGGGGAAGGGGATGGAGGGAGCCCGGGCTCGGGGAGCGCGCCGGCGGATCCCGGGAGCGTGGGGAGCAGAGGTGAGGGCGGGGCCTGGGCCGGGGGGCGGGGCCCGGGCCCGGGAGCTCGGGGAGCCCGGTGAGGGCGGGGGCGGGGCCTGGGCTGGGGGCGGAGCCTAAGCCTGGGAGCTTGGGGAGCGGGGTGAGGGCGGGGCCGGGGGCGGGGCCTGGACCCGGGAGCGTGGGGCGCAGAGGTGAGGGTGGGGCCTGGGCCGGGGGCGGGGCCCGCAGGAGCTGTTCCCGGCCCCAATGCTGGGGCCTCCAGGGTGGGCTCCCGGGGAGCCAGGCAGCGTGGGAAAAAGCCGAAACGCTTTTTAGAGTTCCCACTCAGGAATCCAAAAAGGAGTGTTTTATTATTTTTGGTCCTACCCGCCGAGCAGTGGTTGCGGAGACATTGCGCAGGGAGAGAAGTGCAGGCAGGCCAGCCAGAGCTGCTGTGACCTTCGCCACCTTCTCTTCCCTAGGGCAGCAGCCTGTTCCTTCCTGACCCTCCCAGAGAGGGAGGATGGGGAGGTGACCCCCGCCTGCCCCTTTGCTGTCCTTTGGTAAATGATGCTCGTACCCTGGGCAGCACAAACCGCAGACCTCTAGTCCCAGGTTTCCACTAAGTGCTGTATTCAGATCCTACCAACACACGCATGGTTATTTTAATGTTGAAAAGTAACTGCTTTGTGGTATATGGAGATATGCAAGCTATGTTACTCTTTCTGTAGCAAGTGCTACTGACCTGTGAGGGCTCAAGTTGAGAGTTTTAATTTGATTTTACATAATATATTTCAATGCTTGCAACTTAAACATTACTTATATATTCTAAATTTGGGTCATATTTTAGAAATTATGACGTGGAGAGTCTGTTATCACTGGGCGACTTTAATGAGGAATTAGAAAAGGGAACCAATAAAATTTTTAGATTTGTGTGCTCTTTAAAAATACATGTGCAGAAGTTAATTTATTCTATACCTATTTTTACGAGAACTTGTTTTCTAAGGTTAATGGACCCACATATGAAAATAGAAGTTTTATTATATGCCTGTGGATTCATGTTTGCACTTGCCTGCCTCCTTATTTTCTAAAATAAATATGTGTAAGCACACACACAACTGTTAACAATCTTCACTGAGTGAAGAGTCAAAGACTGTTTCATTTTTAAGTGCACATCTTGTAACTGCTTTTAATAGTGACATTTTTAATTTAATAAAATCTGTGATAAATTAAGGGTATGGAGTTTAATGTATTTTTAGAAGATTAAGGCTAAATAAAATAGGGACTTTCCTAACAGAGAGTGCCTTTAACATTTGAAATCTTAATTTAAAAAGTTCACAAAACTGTGTTGATAATCAGCAAAATGACAGGTAGTTTAAAGTGGTGTTTTTACATATTCACCTGAAATGGTTAAAATTCCATGTATACTTACGTCAAAATTGACCAGTAAATTTATACTGTTTGGAAGAAAATTTAGAGAGATTGCTAATTTGAACCGAGTAAAATAAAAAACAAATTTGTTGGGAGTACCACTAAAATTTAAAAGATACTTGAACTGACGATGATAGCTACAATTATACTGTTTAAATTTGATATTTTCTGTGATTTGGGGAAAAGCTTATATATCAAGACTGAGAGTCAATTCAAGAAGCATATTTATTGTTGGCTTCCCATTTAACTTTCTAACAAAAATGTTTAACACTAATGGTTTGCCATGATTAGGGATAATTAATGATCATTAAATGAAATGTTTCTTAAATTACCAAAAATGTATTGAATTTCTGAAGTTGTGTTTTTTATACTCACTTAATGCAAGTGCATACAAGTTAATCAACGTTATCATACATGGACACATTCGATCAGGGCTTAAATTGGCTGAAACTGCTGATCCTTGGCCTTCCTACCTGCCCCATCCCCCACTCCAGACTGTTTATATCTGCCACAAATTTCAGCAGTTAACATCTCTTATCATACTGATTCTCAGGGATGAAGGCAGAGCAGTCGGGGGAAGGAGCACCGCTAAATTCAACTGTTGGTTTCCAGTCTTCAGTTATGATCCAGATAAAAGTTGAGGGAAAAGATCTCTAGAAAAGGACCGACACTCTATTGATCCCTGCACAGGTGTGTGAGATGGGAGAGCCTGGAGGAGGCGGCCCTGGGACTAGCCCAAGGCTTAGTCATTTTTTAGACAGCAGGAGCTCATACATCCTGAAGATAAACCAAGGGATCACTAGGTCTGACAGGTTGTGGTTACTAATAGCATCTTCAGTTATGGTGTATAGCAGTATGGAATGGTATATGTGGCACATGAACGTATAATTTGTGTGCCTATATCCACATACTTACATATGTTTGTGTATGTTAATATATGCTGTCTCTTTGGAAAGCACTTGTGAACATACTAAGGGCCTACAGCAGAGTGAGTTGAACAGATGAGTTGAACATTATTTCTTGAATGACTGTGTATACTTATGTGTGTTCATGTAATGCTTCATATATATGGGTATTATGATTAAAACGCGCTTTTAGTTTCCTTTAAAATCCTTAGGATCATAAAGCTGATTGATGTTTAACTTGGAGTGAAAAATAACCACTAATTTAAGTCATTACATTATTTTAAGTGTTTTTTTGTGGTAAATGCTGGTTAAGGTTTTAAATAATTTGAGTGTTAGTGAAGAACCTTAATTGTGGCATTTGGAAAGTGTCCAGACTTTTCTTAATTGAAAAAGTAAAGTGTGCATATAGTAACACATTCAGATAGTGTGAGAGGATATTTGGTGATAGGACAGTATCCAGTGAAAAGTCATCTCCCTCCCACACTAGACCTCATGGTCTATTTCAAAGGCAATTGTTGACAGTTTCTTTGTGTGTTTCTAGAAAATTTCTGTGCACATAAAAGAATATATGTATGTATACATATATGGGTTTCCCTGGTCTCTCAGATGGTGAAGAGTCCACCTGCAATGCAGGAGACTTGGGTTTGATCCCTGAGTTGGAAAGATCCCCTGGAGAATGGAATGGCAACCCACTCCAGTATTCTTGTCTGGAGAATTGTATGGACAGAGGAGCCTGGCAGGCTACAGTCCATGGGGTCACAAAGAGTTGGATATGACTGAGCAACTAACACACACACACACACCCACACTTAAATATGTAGTATTTTAGAAATACTGATGAGAACATTCTGTACACATTGTGCATCTTGTTTGTTGGGGATATAATATGGAGATCATTTCTCTAACGTTTGTCTACAGATACCTTATTCTTTCTGATGATGGCAAAGTATTCCTCTATATCAGATTGAGCTCAGTGAAACTGCAGTGTCAGCAGGTCAAAATGGTAGAGAGTAAGGCTGGGAGGTAAGGAAAATGGGGAGAAGTACATGCTTTCAACTCTTAAGAGGACAGTCTTCTGGGGATTTAATGTATAGCATTGTGACTGTAGTTACTAAAGCTGTATCGTGTATTTGAAATTTGCTGAGAGAATGGCAAAGTATTCTCAACACACACACAGGTACACACACGGTAGCTGTAAGGTAATGGATATATTAATTAACTTAATTGTGGTAATCATTCCACAATATATATGTCTATCAAATAATCATCACGTTAAGTACTTTAAGTATATACAATTTTACTTGTCAATTAGACCTCAATAAAGCTGGAAAAAAATGATCCCATATGGGAAATCTCATATGGTTTAACCTAGCATGTTATGTCATCACTTAATTAACCAGCTCTCTATGAAAGGAAGTATGGGCTATTTTAAGACAACAGCAATCTCAGCTTTTTTGCAGTGGATACTATACACTTTTTAAGTAAAGAATAAATAAGACTGGCATGCGTTTTGAATTAGTATGGTCTAATAAAATCCACATGTACATTTTAGTATCCTCCTCAATCCCGTATTGTATACTCTTTGTTCCTCTTTTCATTTTCCACTTTTTCCCTACTGTTTCTTTGTCCTTGCTGTCTCTTGCCTACTTTTCTCATTCTCTGTTTTTCACCACTTTTCTTCCTATGGTGTCTCAGATGGTACAGAATCTGCCTGAAGTGCAGGAGACCTGGGTTCAATCCCTAGGTTGGGAAGCTCCCCTGGAGAAGGAAATGGCAACCCACTCCAGTCTTCTTGCCCGGAGAACTCCATGGACAGAGGAGCCTGGTGGGCTACAGTCCGTAGGGTTGCAAAGAGTTGGACACGACTGAGTGGCTAACACATACACACACAGTGATTCTCAAGAGTCCAAGATGAAATTGCTCAGTCGTGTCCGACTCTTTATGACCCCGTGGACTCTTGCCCTCCAGGCTCCTTCATCCATGGGATTCTCCAGGCAAGAATACTGGAGTGGGGTGCCATTTCCTTCTCCAGGGGAGCTCCCCGGCCCAGGGATCAAACCCAGGTCTCCCGCACTGCGGGCAGACACTTTACCCTCTGAGCCACCAGGGAAGCTCAGACTGTCAGCTAAATAGAATTTCAGGTAGTCTCATCTAGCTACCCAGGTGTTAAACACTAGATAATTTTATGGCTGCCTCGATTTCCTCAAAGGAAATAAATCACTTGTATACAGAAGTTTAAGTACTGCTGATTGGGGAAACTAAAGGGAGCTGTAACTCATCAGATCTCTTCCTTTCTCTTTACCCTTGACTATTATCCCTAAATTCTTCGTCTTGCCTCAAGGAGAAGGTTGATTCTGCATTTAGATTTACTGTTGTAGAGAAATTCACAGGTGTTTACTGGATGTGAGACATTCTGGAGCAGCACTAATACAAACTCAGAACAGCGTAATTTTGAACATGAGTGTGAAGGTCACTTGGCTAGCTTTTTCTTGGCCCATCAATACTGTAGTCTTTCATTTTGCAGTGAATGGCTGGAGGAACCTTGGTCAGGACTGTAGACTAGAACTGTTCAACTGTCATAAGCCAAA